GGAGGGAAGTGGAACAGTGAGGTTACAGGGGGCTGAGGTCAAGAAGGTGCAGGAGCTTAAGTATTTGGGGTCAACAGTTCAGTGTGATGGGGAGTGTAGGAAAGAGGTGAAGAGGCGAGTGCAGGCAGGTTGGAGTGGGTGGAGAAAGATGTCAGGAGTGTTGTGTGACAGAAGAGTGGCAGTGAGAATCAAAGGAAAGGTGTACAAGACAGTAGTGAGACCAGCTATGCTGTATGGGTTAGAGACTGTAGCAGTGAGGAAAAGACAAGAGGCAGAGATGGAGGTAGCAGAAATGAGGATGTTGAGGTTCTCTTTAGGAGTGAGTAGGATGGACAGGATTAGGAACGAGCACATCAGAGGGACAGCTCAGGTCGGCTGTTTTTGGGGACAAGGTCAGAGAGGCCAGATTGAGATGGTTTGGACATGTGCAGAGGAGGGATAGTGGTTATATTGGTAGAAGGATGTTGGAGATGGAGCTGCCAAGCAAGAGGTCAAGAGGAAGGCCAAAGAGGAGATATATGGATGTGCTAAAAGAGGACATGAAGTTAATTGGGGTGAGATGCTGAGGATAGAGTTAGGTGGAAACAGATGATTTGCTGTGGCGACCCCTAACAGGAACAGCCGAAAGAAGAAGAAGTTAATGCAACAGGTCAATGTAACGTAACTGGGGAGAGGAGGTAACATTTACAGGGTTAGCGATAGGGCATGCAGGCATAAAAACAATTTTATATTTAATGGGAAATAGTCATTCAAATCTTTGTTGGTGATGTGGAATTCCAGAAGATGTTGAGCATGTTATTATGTATTGTTCTAAATATAATTCAGAGAGAGATACTCAGAGAGTTAGCCTGTGAAGCAGGCCAGGAGTACAATTGTACTAATGGGTCCAGAGCAAGGATTCGAGGCATCTAAGAAGAGAATTAATCGGCTTCACTGTGGAGTTAGGATTAGGACGTAGTTGTTTTTTTCCTCCTTTTTTCAAGAGCTCAGGTAACTTAATGCTGTGCACACTCCGATGCAGTAATGGCGGTATGCGCCTCAATTGTTGGTTAGGAATCCGACAGAAAACGAAGAGAAGAAGAAGAAGAAATTTGTGGCGGTTAAATCTTTAGTGACGTTTGTGAAATGATTGGTCCTTTAACTAATGTCAGCCATGACTGAACTGATAGAAAATGGTGTTATTCGAGGAGTCGTGGTACCGGTACGTGTTTATTATTTTAATTATTTTGTATTATTGTAGACAATTACTGTAACGTTAATGCTGTCTAATAACGGAAAAACGTTCGATAGTGTTAGCCAGTTAGCTAGCTTACTGCTAACTTACCGGTTAGTTTCGCTAACGTTATTTAGCGCCAGTCACTAATCTATACGTTTAGCTTGCCTGCTATCTAGCTAAGGTCCTCTGCTACTTGCTAATCCTAAGCTAACGTTCTTTCTTTTGCAGGTGGAGGACGTCACAGCAGCTGTTGAATACGAAACGTCCCTGGTAGCGGCATTTGAAGACATATTGGAAATACCACAGGTTCATTTGGTTAACATTTTGATATATGTTGCTGCAGACATAAAAATCTATTTAGAAAGTTTTTTTTAACAGTAGCTAATTTTCCCGGGCTGCAAAGAGGCAGCTGTAAAAGTGTCGAGAGAACAGCTCACCTATCCAGGCAAAATTCTGACTACTTTAAATCGATTTACTTTTTAAATTTTACTCATACATGATACAATGATACAAAATACACAAAAGCAATGTGTATTTCAGTTTATATATATATATATGATTGTTTTACTGCTAATATAATCAAAAGTTCCGTTGGATTGTCAGTAAAATAACGAATTGGTAACCGTTCCTGCAAGAAAACAATAATTTGAAATTATGGATATTTAAAAAAAAAAAAAAAAGCCCACACATGATCAAAAATAACCAAACACCACCATCAAATACAAAGTTAAAATTTCATACGTTATAGTTTTGCTGAAGGTGTAGCAGAAATGATTAATATTAGTGAGGCATTTCACCACAGCTTCTCCTGGGCTGTATGCAGTCAGTAGTAAAGCTGACAGCTTCATTTCAGCATTTAGGTTTTACAGTGTTGCTGCTTAATGTTGGGGCTTCATTGTCAAGGTTGTTTGTTTACACCATTTCCCTCTTTTTCTGTCCCTGGTGGGGGTCTCCCATTGCCCAAGAGTGGGGCCTCCTTAACCTTCTCCAAAACTGACTAGTGCACAAGCAACCAAGTATTCACAAGCATTCAGCATTTTTACAGTTCATTTATTTGTCTGTATACTTCCATTCATACTTAGTGAGGCAGGTCCCTACTTGTGAACTTGGCAAATTTTTGAATGGAGTTGGGTGGGTTTTGTTCTTGCACTCAAGTTAATATTTGGCATAGTGATGTTTTGCTAATTCTGGATTGTGGGTTTCTGTGTGTGTGCAGGATGTGGGACTGACAGAATGTGCATTCTCAGAGGAGACAGACACCAGAGAGAAGTCAGAGAAGGTCTACAGACAGCACAATGGACAGGCTGACACCTCCAGCACGCAGTCAGTGGTAATGAACACGCAGACTGGTCGGGACAGGGTATAGCACCAGTTTTAAAATGAAAAACGAACTAACCTGCTTGTCTGGAACCTGGACCAGCATCTGATGCACTTCGAAAATTACAAATAGGAATCTGTGAACTGTTATGTTGACAAAAAGTGGTTTTGCTTTCAGTAATTAAACTCATTGTGTCACCACTAGTGTCAAAAGTTTCAAATATTAATTTCTAATCAAGTGGCTGATGATTACAGTGTTAATAGCTGTTTCTAATCTTTTTTTGTACTATATTTCATTTTGACTTTTTTCATCATTTTTTGTCTTAATAGATATTTTTGTAGTCTTTTAATTGCCTGTCTCTAATGTTCATGCTTCTCTTTGCCAGTGTACAGATCTTTTATTTGCCTCTGAATTTGAAATGTGCTGTACAAATCAAGCTGCCTTGGCTTGAAGAAGATAATGAATGTCATGAATGAATGAATGACAGTGGCGTTCATTAGAACATGTATCTTTGTCTCCATCAGTGGGCGGTGGGAGCTCAGTGTCGGGCAGTGTGGTCAGGGGATGGGCAGGTGTATCTGGCGACAGTGGTGGCGGTGGATGGAGAGCGATGCAGAGTTTGTTTCAGTGGCTATGGCAACGAGGAGGACATGGAACTGAGCACGCTCATGAGTCCAAACACTCTTCTGCAGACTCAGATCCCAGACTCTCTGGTATCATACCTCACACACACCTCACAACACTTCACACCACACACACTGGTAGATGGTAAAAGGTGAACAGAGAGAAACCTTAAACATTTAAAGGAAGAGTAACTGAATGGACTATAATCATGTGCAGATCCCAAGACAAGCGGCCACTGGGCACAGACATCTGAACGGACCCCAGCCCTCCTTACGAAGCCTCAGACTGAACAAGAACCACATTCACTACAAACAACACAGCAGTGGCCTTTTCTCTGCTTACAGGCATTTAGTGTGTAACTATTTTGAGCCATTTTCAAGACATTCAATTGACTTCCCAACAAGAAATGTTAAAATTTCAGAGGCTCGGGGGCCTCTGTGGTTGTTTATCCATGATGTAATATACTGAGGGATTTTCATAATGTCTATCTGATAGGAATCTGAAAAACGCTACAAGAGTCAGATTTACAGCTGCATTGGTTGAAAACCACAGATTTGAACCAGATGAGATTAGAAAAACTGTCTAAAATTGACATGGACCTCAAAAAATGGTCTTTGGCAAGTTTTCTGTTACTTCTTGCTGTTCTCTGCTCTAGTGTTTGCCTCCTGTGTGTGCATGTGTGACGCACCATCTCCAGCTGGCTAATGTTCCTAGTGGAGGCAATTCTGTTAACCCTAACTCCCTTATTTGTTGTGCTAAAACAGGGGTATGAAACTCAAATACACAGTGGGCCAAAATTAAAAACTAGGACAAAGTTGCAGGCCAGACTCTATATATTGAAATATTGAATAAAATTGGGCATGTTTTCCCTTCTCTCTGGATATATAATGCTAAACTTTTTTATATGGAAACAAACAAGTTGATTAAACATTGAATTTGGAACGAACAAAGCTTAATATTATAAACAAATGAGAAATCAAATTTCATATAAAACAAAAACATCAGTGGCATTCGTTTCTTATTGATTTGTGAACATTTTCTGCCATGAAACCAGACTTCTTTTCATCTCCTGTACCTTCTGGAGCTTCTGCTTCACGTCCAGGTCCTTGTACTTGTCTTGGTGTTTAATTTCATAGTGTCATCTTATGTTATATTCTTTCGTTACAGCCACTTTGGCTCCGCACACAAGACAAACAGGTCTGTCCTTTACCTTAATGAATAGATAATCGTCCTCCCACCTGTCTTGAAAGCTCCTGTTTTCCATCTCTCGTTTGGCCATTTTTTTGGGAGGGCTGGATTAAATTTGCCTGAGATGACTGGTAGCATGAGGTTGCTAATGAATGTCAACAGAAGGTGCTTTGGGTTTTGATTGACACACCAACGCACTAGCAAGGCATTCTGGGATTTGCAGTATTAGTGGTGCGTGCGATAATAGTGGCTGGCCAGCTCTAATAAACATTTGAAATTATTTCGCGGGCCAAATATGCTTACACTGTGGGCCTGAGTTTGACATATACAGTGCCTTGCGAAAGTATTCGGCCCCCTTGAACTTTGCGACCTTTTGCCAAATTTCAGGCTTCAAACATAAAGATATAAAACTGTAATTTTTTGTGAAGAATCAACAACAAGTGGGACACAATCATGAAGTGGAACGAAATTTATTGGATATTTCAAACTTTTTTAACAAATAAAAAACTGAAAAATTGGGCGTGCAAAATTATTCAGCCCCTTTACTTTCAGTGCAGCAAACTCTCTCCAGAAGTTCAGTGAGGATCTCTGAATGATCCAATGTTGACCTAAATGACTAATAATGATAAATAGAATCCACCTGTGTGGAATCAAGTCTCCATATAAATGCACCTGCACTGTGATAGTCTCAGAGCTCCGTTTAAAGCGCAGAGAGCATCATGAAGAACAAGGAACACACCAGGCAGGTCCAAGATACTGTTGTGGAGAAGTTTAAAGCCGGATTTGGATACAAAAAGATTTCCCAAGCTAAACATCCCAAGGAGCACTGTGCAAGCGATAATATTGAAATGGAAGAAGTTTCAGACCACTGCAAATTTACCAAGACCTGGCCGTCCCTCTAAACTTTCAGCTCATACAAGGAGAAGACTGATCAGAGATGCAGCCAAGAGGCCCAGGATCACTCTGGATGAACTGCAGAGATCTACAGCTGAGGTGGGAGACTCTGTCCATAGGACAACAATCAGTCGTATACTGCACAAATCTGGCCTTTATGGAAGAGTGGCAAGAAGAAAGCCATTTCTTAAAGATAGCCATAAAAAGTGTCGTTTAAAGTTTGCCACAAGCCACCTGGGAGACACACCAAACATGTGGAAGAAGGTGCTCTGGTCAGATGAAACCAAAATCGAACTTTTTGGCAACAATGCAAAACATTATGTTTGGCGTAAAAGCAACACAGCTCATCACCCTGAACACACCATCCCCACTGTCAAACATGGTGGTGGCAGCATCATGGTTTGGGCCTGCTTTTCTTCAGCAGGGACAGGGAAGATGGTTAAAATTGATGGGAAGATGGATGGAGCCAAATACAGGACCATTCTGGAAGGAAACCTGATGGAGTCTGCAAAAGACCTGAGACTGGGACGGAGATTTGTCTTCCAACAAGACAATGATCCAAAACATAAAGCAAAATCTACAATGGAATGGTTCACAAATAAACATATCCAGGTGTTAGAATGGCCAAGTCAAAGTCCAGACCTGAATCCAATCGAGAATCTGTGGAAAGAACTGAAAACTGCTGTTCACAAATGCTCTCCATCCAACCTCACTGAGCTCGAGCTGTTTTGCAAGGAGGCATGGGCAAAAATTTCAGTCTCTCGATGTGCAAAACTGATAGAGACATACCCCAAGCGATTTACAGCTGTAATCGCAGCAAAAGGTGGCGCTACAACGTATTAACTTAAGGGGGTTGAATAATTTTGCACGCCCAATTTTTCAGTTTTTTATTTGTTAAAAAAGTTTGAAATATCCAATAAATTTCGTTCCACTTCATGATTGTGTCCCACTTGTTGTTGATTCTTCACAAAAAATTACAGTTTTATATCTTTATGTTTGAAGCCTGAAATGTGGCAAAAGGTCGCAAAGTTCAAGGGGGCCGAATACTTTCGCAAGGCACTGTATGTGCTAAAAGAACACTTGATCAGTCAAGCTGAAAAATCTGTAAAATGTTAAAACCCTGCAAACTAGAATTCATAGCTTGTCCGTTCCAGTTTAACCGTTACACTGAACAGAAATAAATTTATGCTTTAAACTGAAAATGTGATACCTTAAGATAAAAACTCAGACATGCTTTTCATGGTAATCTGTAATGGTGACAGTGAATTAAATCCAGATCTCATTGACGTTTGTGCTTCAGGACTGGAAACCTGGTTCTCGTTGTCGGGCTGTGTATTCAGAGGATGGTCTGGTTTATCCAGCCGTGATTCTGTGGGTCCACGGTCAGCGCTGCCGTGTTCGCTTTGATGGTTACAACAATGAGGAGGAACTGGACGTCAGCAGCCTGCTGACCCACAACGAGCTCCACGGACCCATCAAAGCCATTCGAAAGGTACAGACCTGGATTCAGTATTGACTGAAATGTGTCTGTAGCACTGAGCCAACCTGTCAGCCACAGTTCATGTGTAGTGAGAAAATTAAAACAGCCTTGAATCATGTCACTGTTCGACAGAAGGGGGGGTTAGGGTTAGGTTAGTTAACCTGCTGGACAGGTTAACTTTTTAATGTTTGGGGCTCATTATTGGCAGTAAACTCAGCTTTGATTGGCACAGTACTGATGAGCCCAGCAGAGACTTCATGTTATATGCAAACTGTTTCCGTTGCCTGTTCCTTGCTGCTGCTGCTGCTTTTTGCAGATGTTCTGTCTTGAAACAGATTGCATCTGTGATGCTGCTGTTCACATCCGTGTGTGTGTATATAGAAGGTTGGGAATGGAGGCATGAATATTTGGTGTCTGTGTTGTGTGAATATCTGTATGTTTCTCTGGTGTACACGAAGTGAAGCTAAATCTCCCCTTGGCAACAATTAACCTGCGACATGACTTGGTTTGTTTGTATGAAAAAAATCAGACCTTTTCTGAAAACTGTTAAACCAACTTCTGAGCTGGAGCTGAGTTTTCTGTCCTGGAACCCAGAGCTCAGGGTCCCACTTCCTGGAATTGGTCTGGTCATGAAAAGTGCCTTCAGACAGAGGGCACTGGATCATACATTTGCTAATGTGTTGCAGTATGTATAAGCAGAAACACCTGCTCACCTCAGTAAAGCTGAAGGATTTTATTTTATTTGAAAGCAGCTCTCTGACTCAGACCTGACCTCTGGGTCTTTGTTGCCACCGCCGTGTTCATGGACACATTGCTTGTTGTTTGTGTGTCAGCAGGCTAAAGAGAGGTCCAGCAGTCAGAGCAAAGTTGAGAGAGATGGAGATGACAAGACGAGAGGAGGAGACCAGCAGAGAAATGAATCAGAGAAAGCTGCCAATCGTAGCCTCCCTCTGTTCCCTCAATTTCCTCCTCTGTCGGGCTTAGGGGTAAAACATTTATTAAACACAATCTTATTGATGGTTTTTCCTCTGAGTCTCACAGTGTCTCTTCTTCAGGGCCCTCCTTCCTTCTTCCCTCCTCCTCCGTGGTCGATTGGCGAGAAAGAGTCCGGCAGTTCTCCAGCCATCGACGGCACCTTGGACAGCATGTTGATGCTCTGGTACATGTGTGGTTACTACACTGGCAGCTACATGGTCAGTAACATGTAGTCGTTCTAAACACACTCTAACAACACAAACACAGCAGGTTCATGTTTATCCAAACATTTCTCATCAGCTCAGCTCCAGGTTTAGTTTTGATATTTTCTTCTGGTGAGAAATGAACTGTTTAGACCTTCAACTCAGTCTGATTCAGAATTGATTTTAAGCTTTTGTTGTTTATTTTTTAAAGGCAATAAACCACACAGTTTGTTGTTTGTTTACCTGTGAAGAAAAATGTGTGTTTGTGTACTGGTGTGTATTCCTGTATTTTCAGGCTGAGCAGCAGTTCAGGTCAGCATCCAAAGACTGAGGTGAGAGCTCACTCTGATCACAAACTTTAGTTACACTCACCTGAGTTTGCACACTTCGTTTAACACAAACATCAGTAATTCTCTACGTTAAGGGCCACTCCACCAGTTTTCACACAGTTTAGTTTCCTCCTCAGTGAAAACGGTTGCATGACATCAGCTTTGGCCTGTTGATGTCAGCAGACTACAAATGTCCAGACACTGTCCAGATGCATTATGGGACATGTAGGCTCCAGTGTTTTTTGGAGCAAAAGGAACTCTCCCCCCTGCTGCTCAGATTTTAGCCAGTAAAAAAAAAAAACAAGAAGAAATAAATCTTCCATTTTAGTGAAAGAGACAAAGTGGTGTGGTACAGAACGAACACTACATTATCAGTGTATAGTTTTAAATGTCAAAGAAACACCAACTGATTTACCCAGTCAACTCCAAACCCCCACAGCTGAACTGATGTTAACTGTACAAATGTTTTGCTTCTTGTTCTGTGAGAGGGCAGCAACTGTAGCTCTGTATCCAAACGCCTAAAGTGCAGCTAATCAGCACAAGGACAAAGATGAGTTGTTCCATAATACACCTGCAATGTCTGTATTTCAGTCTGAAAACTGAGCGTCCTTGCTCATCTTTCATATTCATTTCAGTTCTTTTGCCTTCTGCTGTAGAGCCAAGACAGAATTATGGGATGAGACGCAGCTGGGACAGTTGTCTTGCATTCACTGTGTACTTCCCCATTTCTTTTCTCTATTTTAAAAAGATTTGTATTTGTTGTCATGGAAATGCTCCTGTACATCGATGGATTCAGTGCGTCGAAACAGTGCAGAATACCTTTGTGTTCAGAGAGTTAGAGAGATGTTGTGTCTCTGTGCTGTTTTTGGTTTGATTCTGTGTAGAGCTGAAGTGAAAACTCAGCTGTTGGAAAACTGTTGCAACAAAGCGTGTTTTGTTATTAAAAAGGTGGACGGCTTCTGTCCCTGCTCTTTGTTATGCCTATCTCTGTCTGCGCCCAAGTGCACTGGAGGTGAATGACTTTTAGTGTGGCCTAAGATCGACAGAAACAGTGTCCCCTGTGACTCCACGAAACAGTAGAGCTGGTTTTCACTGGAGCAGTGCCCCTGGCAGAAAGCACTTAACCCCACCAGCACCATGTGGAGTTGGTTTACATCAGAGAGGACAACATAAGATGTACTGTGTTATGATTTAATTTAGTTTGAATCGCAGTTAATGAAGCAGCTGTTGTAGAAAGGAGGAAATGCAGAGCTGCACACCAGCAGAGCAAGAGGACCTGAAAAGCCTTAAAGTCTCAAACAATGATTCCAGTTCCTTCAAAAGATCCTTAGAAGATAGTAAAGAGTCTTAAATGTCATTTACAAAGGTTCTTTTATAGACAGTGACATGGGTTCTAACTTTGGCCTGCCAGGAAGCTCATGAACTGAAGTATGTGTCGAGTTGACCCCAAAGTTAACTTTGTTTTTCATCTGCTTAATCTATCCATTATTTTTCTGCCACTTCGGAGTATGAGACAGTGGTGCCCTGTGTATAGACAAGTAAAAGGCAGCCCACCCCTCCTATATGTCCTGGTAGAATATGTTACCCCTAGTAGTGGTTCTGTGCTCTTCTGATAAATTACATCAATATTCTTGAACTATTAGACTTTCTCAGCTAAAATGTCAGTAGCACAGACCTGCCCTCACTAAGTGTGAGGTATAAGGATAGAGAATACTTGTGAACTTGACAGTTTAGGGGAAGGCTAAGGAGGTGTGCGCTGCTCTTGGGCACCAGCAGACCCCCAGCAGAGGCATAAGAGTATGGGGGGGTTCCTGCTCCTGAACCTTAGATAATTACCTTATCTCCATTAAAAAGGTACTATAGTTTCTTGTAATATTATAATTTTCTTCTTATACAGTTACAACTTTGCTCTCAGTATGACTTTGACTTTTAAAATATTCAATAGTCAGACTTTTTTCAATAATAATTTCCAGTGTCAGCTCTGCCCTTCCCTTCTCACGCTGAGAGGAGAACACAGGGCTGCTCTGTTTGTAAACAGAGCTGCAGCCAAACCAGCAACAAACCACATGCACATTTATTCTCAGTCCACGTGCATGTCATCACTTTATGTTTGAGTTTTTCCTTTTTAATCGCTAGTACGTTTGTAATATTTGCTCTGTGGCTGTGCAGGTTGAAGCCAAACTGACCTACCAGTGTGCAACAGCTGATTAGATTTCTGCCTAGTTGATCCCGTCCGTCAGAGGTCAGACACATTAAATCAGCTTTATGTGGTTTGACGTAAACGGTGACACACAGAGCCGCACCTCTTCCTGTCACACTGAGGCTGCTGTTGCTGTTGTTGATCTGCATACCTCAGGGTATCTGCAGGTCTGGAAAAGTTTTAAAAGCCATTGAATTTTATAACGAAGTCCTGGGAATGTTTTAAAATGTCTTAAATTGACCTTAAACTGACTGTGTAGCGTTGTTATTAAATGTGTGAGTTGTGGCTGTCAGAAGATGACCTCTTGTACATTGAGCTGCAGGAGACTTTACAGAATTGCCCTTTTGAATTAGTTTAATCCATCTATGATTTTTATGCTGCTTTGCTGGGTCCATGTCACATTAAATTACTAGCACAGACTTATGTTACAGATGTGATGGAAGTGCCCATAAGTTGGTGTCCTTAATGAACAGTTGTAGGCCTTATTGTGCCAACTTTTTTTCAGTCCTCCTTCAACCAGTTTGGCCAGTTTGAAACAGGTGTTAAAAGGTCTTGAATCTAATTTCTAAATGGCAGCAGGAAACACTTCTACTTTTTAAAATGCTGTTGGCAGTCACTGAGCACAGAAAGCTCTCTACAGTCCTGTCCTCACATTGCATCTGAAGGAGCAGAGGTTCCCTCCCTGCTGACCTCGGACGTGAGTTGGCCCATTGTCTCATTAGCGACAGGTAAATATTGTCAAACTGACGTCAGAGCTGCTCACATAAAAACCGTTGTGTGCGAGACTCTGCGTCAGTAACTGGAGGACAGTCAGGGGTGTCCAGAGTCCCGATCATCTCCCAGCATACCTCAGCGTCCCTGAGCCTTCAGCCCAGTCTGAGTCATGGTTAGCGGCAGGATGCTTCTGCTCAGCGCCTCCTGCTGGCTGCTGGTTGTTCTGACGAGCTGTGAGGAGCTGATAGAGGAGCGATCGTCTGAGGACGACACCATCAAGACACAAGAGGAGAAAGAACTGGTGAGTTCTCATGTTTACCTGTGTGGAAGGAGGGAGGACTGGGTTCATTTGAGCTGATTTTCAGCTGGTGGAGGTCTTACTGTGTGGGTAAAATGATAACATTACTTGAGAAATGACTGATTTAATCAATAATTAGAGGTACCAAACCCTTGCAGGTTAGAGTGTCGGGTTATGAGGATTTTCTGTGGAGTTTTTTTCTGGGCTTGGGGTTCTGGACTTGTAATGACATTAATGTTACTGGAGGATGAACCATTGAGCTGCATTGTCTCATTTTCGTGGGGAAGTGCAGGATCAACAAACCATTCTCCAAATATAAAGACGTAAAAGTAGCAAAGTAAACCAAACACACCCACCATGGAGTTTGTGGGTTGTTTTTCTGTTGTGTTTTTAGTCTTCACACCTGAAATCATTTTTCCTCCACAGATTGAGGCGCTACAGGAAGTCCTGGAGAAGCTGAAGAGCAAACAGCTGCCATCAGAGAAGAAACTCAGCTGGCTTCCCTCAGTAAGAACTTCGACTTACTCTTCTCTGATTGGAGTGGTGTCTGTTAGGTAGTTTGGGTTTTATGTGTGCAGATTTTCCCAGCTGTTTCCATCCAAACACAGTGCAGGTGGACGCAGTCTAGTTTGTGCCGGTCTGTGTCGAAAACATTTAACTTGTCTTCCCAAAGCAGTCTCCTAAAAATCCACAGAACAGGCTGGTGTCTGCTTCTTTGGTGTAAAGATTGTTACATTGAGCAAATGGTACAGACACTTCTTCATGATGTAAACGATGACACTGACACGTTTATCCCAGTCACTACAAATCATATCTAATTTACAGTGACATTACATTTATTCTGCAGATTGTACAAATTAAAAGATATGTTTGAGTTTGTCCTACAGTAGTTTCCATACATACATGACATGTAGACAAACAACCACACCCACTCACACTCACTCCTAGGGGCAATTTAGAGTCGCCAGTCAACCTAAGCTGCATGTCTTTGGACTGTGGGAGGAAGCCGGAGTACCCGGAGAGAACCCACTCGGGCACAGGGAGGACATGCAGACTGCACACAGAAACTCCAGGTTCGAACGTGGAATCTTCTTGCTGTGAGGAGACGGTGCTAACTGCTGTTCTGCCCACTAAATTTCAGTTTGTGTGTACTGAAATGTTTTTGTCATGTGACCTGTGTGCGTGTTTGTGTGTCAGTGTGACGCAGGGGAGCAGTGTGCGGTGCGTAAAGGTCCGAGGATCGGGAAGCTGTGTGGGTGTCCAAGAGGAACTGCCTGTAACTTCACCATCCTCAAATGTCTGTAGAGCTGAGACGCAAACGACTGTTGTTGTACAACCACAAAATAAAGGCACATTTTCCAGAACTCCACTGGTCTTTGTTTTTTTATTTCTCAACAGTCCAGTTCACACAAACTGCATCAGAAGCAGAGGAACCTCATACTGTCTGCTGGTGCTGTCAGACTCAGGTGCACCTTGCAACATTTGCAGCGAATCAGTGTGTCCGAAAATGACAAATGTATCTGTTTATACACTATAACAACATTTGGAGTGGGTTTTGTGCGGGACTTGATCTCAGAAAGTAGAGGAAGAAGCCCAGCAGACACACCCTTTAGCACCTGACTAGTCTGACTATCCTGTCCTTAACGGTTTACTAACAAAAGTATCAGCACTTTATTTCATCCACTCACTGGCCACATAGTCGCACCTGTACAATTGTATTTACTTCAGTGGAACGCTTCCTCCTTCCCATCTGTGTTTATGAAGCTCAATGTTTCAGTTTTCAGCGAAATTCTAAAAAAATGTATAATTTCAATTCTATGTTTATTAGTGAGGTCCTAGAGGTGGTGTTTTACTGCACTGCATTAGATTCAGAGGTGTGTCCTCCCCAATGACATGCATGAGAGGGGCAGAATATTAGGAACAGAAAAGTCTGGTGGAACTGCTAACAAGTAAACATGACAATGTGACACAAAGACAAAACTAGATGCTGGTTTTGTTCAAGAGGTCACAAAAATGTTGGCAGCCGCTGGTTAAATCTCTAACAACTGGTAATAAATACATGTAATATTTAACCCTTTGGTAAATCAGAATTAAAATGCAGAGCAAAGAAAATGTAGTTTTAGAAACATCTCAGGTTTATTACTCTCAAACATTCAGTACCCCCCCACCCCCAAACCAGCATCAGATAAAAATTTAAAAAAGCTAACATGTGAGTTGCTCCTCTGCTGCAGTGACAGAAGCTTGAGGCTGTGAGGTTTGCTAAACAAGATAAAAAGCACAAAAGAACAACAAATAGACCAGCTGACTAAATTCATTCACACATCTGACCTGTTCATACCTGACTGCTAAACCTGACCTGCACCAGTTCTTTTGAATATTTCTGTCCTTTTTTCTGCCTGTTTATCAGAAGATTAAAAATTGTTTGGAAAGGTGATAGTTATAAAATTTGAGAACAGTCTATAAATGTGTGTAGCATTTCAGTCACGGCCGGTGTTACAGACTCCAGATGCTGGTGCTGATACAGATGTAAACGGGGTTTTTGACCATTTTACAGTCAGTTTTTAGATTTCTTTCTAGGCAGCTGTAGAATTCTCTGTTTGAAACTCCACAGGCAGCCATGATCCATCACATTGCATGGTTTTCCAGACATGCAGTAAAATCCCCACTGCTAAACACACTGCTTTTAAACCGTTTCTGCAGGACACATCATATAAATGGTTTCACTGTGTTTCCATATCCTAAGGTCTCTGCTGCACCATCAAAATATTACAACTTCAGCTCAGGATACTTTAATTATTTATGCTTCACAATAACATCTTGTTCTATCCTGTCCACGTTAGGATCTGATTTAACCGTCAAGTGTGAACAGGATTTTTGAAAGCTTTGATCCTAATGGATCATTTCCCAAATCCTCCATTAGTGTTTAGATCTGGTTCCGTCCACACAGCCTCTGGTTTTCAAGTCTATTTTTTTCCTCTGGTGTGTTTAATGAAGCCTCATCTCCACATGCAGCTGTTTCAGTCACTCAGATCCCCTTGCTGTCTGTTGCTAACGCTTTACTGGTCTCTGTTCTGACTGATCAGGCTCCTGGTGTCACGCTCAGCTTTTTGGTTACACTTTCCCCTGCTCTCTCTAGCAAGCTGTGGAAATCAGTAAACCCATTAAATCCATACATAGATATGCTAACCCCTCATTTTGAATGTAAATTCCCAGTACGGGTAAAGAAAGGAGCTGCTGCCTTGCTTCATGTAGTCGTGTATATGTCAGCATCATTAGCAGGCTAACGTTAGCTTTTCAGTTTTGTACCTGGTTGTAATTTGGAGTTATTCCAGATGATGTAGTTTCACCAACAGGGCAGGAGTGGAGGGAGAAGGGGACATTGTTGGACTGAAACACCACTGATGGGGATAAATGTCCCTGACTCAACGCCAGTCGGGCAGAACTGATGAAGCCTCTTGGATAAGAGGTGAAAACCTAGTCTAGTTGTTTTTTTCCTACATTTTTTCAGCTTTGATTCTCACTCTGTAACAGCTGAGAGTTTGAGGGCTAAAGTTAGCTAGAGGGGCTTTAAGCTGAAATGCAAATTGTAAAACCAAGTCCTCCGTCAGTTTTTGAATCCCAGTTTTCTGTCACCAGCAGCTAAAGCACCTCAGATCTTAAAACCAGATGTTGGCCATGATGGGTGTGTGTATTCTACAGTCTACTTCAGTGGAGCATGTTTCTATGAAATTTGTGGTTGATTAAATGATGTAGACCCACAGGCCTTCTTGGTGACCCGACACTCACAACACTGCATGTCTGGAAGGAGCTCAGTCTATAAACTGATGCAGGATTTGGGAAAACCTCTTGTTCATGGACTCAAACATAAATGCAGCAGCAAAGCTAGAAGAAAACAGTGGTAAGGCAGCAGAGTCGATTTCACGTTTAAGCCAGGCCTGTGTCCAATCATACGGCAGTGTCACACATCAGCATCTCCATGGCGATCTATTTGTTTGTAGCATAGACAGGAAGTTTGTACAGCAGTCATTGGGTCCGTCCAGGCTCCACCCCATTCTGGACCGCAGTGCTCACCATCGAATCAGCCATCTGCCACGCTGAACTCCTGGAACGACAGCACACACACAGTTCTGTAGAGCTCACATGCTGTGACCTCGTCTTTCAACAGCGCCTGCTCCACTGCTGCTGCAGCTGCTTCCTACATGTCATGATGCCACAGTTGATGCTTGTGCCCCATTTCAGACCCAGCAGCTTGTCCTTGTCTTTTTTGATGCTCTTTCCTCCTTGCTTCATCCAGCTTTGTGCTCACTCACCTCCTAACTTTAATTTATTTGCAATTTGTTGATGAAAATACATCTCTCTTCCTCTGTCCTGCCTCCTGCCGCAGTGATCGGCTCTGACCACCGGGTGGAGCTCCTCTTATTCTCTAACCACTTTTATTAGAGGACAGGAAGGACTTTCCCCTGCTGGTGTAATGTGGAATAAATCCCCTTGTGATGTTTTTAAATTTGGTTTTCTTATGTGAGGAGTTCATTCAGTCACAGGCGGAGTAATTAACATAGGTGGCACATAGTTTTCACACCACCTGTGTTCTGCTAACACTGAGCCCCCACATTTGTTCTTGTAAACAAGTAGTACCTGGTTTATTTATTTAAGAGACATTAGATCCAATACGCACCTTTAAAAATCTGTTTAGAAGTGCACTATATCCATTAATCATTGACTAAATGTTTGCACGGTTATTATCAACGCTAAGGACATGCACTTAACACAGTAATGCTGTAACAGCTGATTTACTTCCAAACACATACATTGCAGTCTGTTATAAACCACTTTGCACACTACATTGGATGTTTAAACCATCTTTATATACCAGTGACGTGCGGTGAGGTTGACAGCTGGTGAGGCGCCAACCCTTTTACAGTCAGATTTACAAATACAAATTGTCTGTTAACAGACAATGCGTTATGTTTTATATCTCATATCAGCATTCTTCACACAAACGTGACCCATATTTAATTTGAGGTTAAAATTTATTCCAGTTGAGCTTATTTCTAACTAGAAATAATAAAAGTTTATGGTCTTACCTTTACTTGTACA